ACGTCCCGGGGGCCGGTCGGGGAGGGCCGGGCGTTCCCCTTCGGGCCGTGAGGGGGTTCCCGGAGGCCCGTGCTCCGGCGTGAGGCGGCGCGGGCCGTGGCGCGGTCTGTACGGGAGGTGGCGGCGGCGGCGGCGGCGGCCCCGCGGCGTGCGGAACGGGACAGTACGCATGCGCTCCTCACCTGGCGAGTTCTGACCCTGGAGGTCCAAGCTGGGGCCTTAGAGTGGTGGCTCTAGGGTGGTGCTGAGTCGCAGGCCTCTAGCTAGGCCCTGAGTCTAGAGATGGTGACGGAGAGTTAGCCAGCTCTTTTCCCTCACTTCTCTCCTTGACGTCTCTCCCACCTGTCACCCCCACCCCTGTCCCCTATCCCTGATTCTTAATAGCTGCTTTTGGGTTTCTGGGTTCGTCTTGTAATATGCAAACGGTGCTTCGTCACTAGCTCTAGGTAGGGTGAAACGAGAGGGAGGCTGCCACCTGGTACACTCTGCCCTATCCACTCCGCTGTCTCTAAATCCGCCTCCCCTTCCAACTCCTCCCCAACCCCCTCACCCCTTCTTTCCCGGGTCTCACTCGCTTGCCAAGAGGAGAGATAGTGAAAGGTGAAATAGACTTTCCTTCCTTGACGAATAAATATACTTGCCTTAAAAACTCATCTATTTCCTTGACTTCAGGACTTGTGGCCTTGTGGTCGCAGATCAAGAGCATATGACTACCCTTAAACTGTTTACTTTGGTGAGAGGTTATAATACACTGTTACACATAGTGCCTGGTCTTGATTTTAGGTCAACCTTTATTTCCCACTGAGGTTATATATCTTTAAATGCACACTGGAAATCAATTTTTTTTGTTTTTTGCATTTTCGGAATTAGCAGTGACCTATTTGTGTTTCAACTAACTAGGTACCAGGTAGTTAAATAACTTAAAATGTGCTGTCACAAAAAAGTATTCAAGTTGTCATGTTTGAACTTAGCCGGAAAAGCTCTTAAGTGAAGGAGATATGCAGAATTCTCAGGTTTAAGGATTGGAGCAGATGTGACAGGTGCAACCTTGTGAGGAAACTGGGTATCCTTTGAAAGCCCCTTTAGCCTTAAGAGTCTATAAATATTCACTTTTTTGCAGGCAAAGGAGATTTCCTGCTGAGTGGTAGCACTTTATTACTGTGTGTTTCTCTAAAAGAAGGTTGTAAATGTTTGAAACTGAAAAATAAGCCAGCTGACACCTATTAATTGGCCTTACCAACTTGATTAGTCCCAGCAAAAAGTTGTGTAATGAGTTGGAAAACTTCTGTAATAAGATTGTTATACTAGATATATAGATCTGTTTCCTGCTTTCATTTCAGACCATTGAGAGGAAATTCCTATGACTGATAATGCTTTGAAAAAAGATGCTAGTCTGCAAATTTTTAGTTGTGCTGGGAGGAGTGTTTTGACAGTTCTGTACCTCTTTTGAGTTTTGCTTTATTATGCTTGTTAGGCTAGAATTTTATCTTAGTTCTTTTACTGCCTTTGGGTGGTTCTGTATTTGTGGATTTCTCCCTGTGCTAAATGGTGTTAACCCCATTTTCACTTTTCTCTACCTTTGGAGGTGGACTTAACATTTAAATAACTGTTCTCCCACCGCCCATCTCTTTTTGGTCATGTGTCCAAGATCAAAAAGATTATAGTTTGGTATACTAGTGAATGAATAGTGGAGAAATAACTGTAAGCTGTCATATCCTTTAGGAATCTTTGTTCTCTGTGCTTACTTTTTGAAAAAGATAACTTTCTTGTACC